TTAAATGTAAATTGTCTTGTTCCATTGACAAAGTACCGCCTCAAGACAAAATGCACTTATTCTAAGAAAAAATAACTTCTTTAGATTTACATTTTTTGCAGTGTAACTGAGGGAAGGAGGTTGTTCCCCAGAATCTGGCTATACTTGGCCCTGGTCATCCTCTCCTTAATACAGTGCAGTCCCTCTGTCCCATGTGCATAAAAACACCCCCCAAGCATGATGCTACCACAGTAGGGATAGTGTTTTTGGGATGGTACTGATCATTCTTCTTCCTCCAAACAGGGTTAGTGGAATTCTGACCAAAAAGTTCTATTTTGGTCTCATCTGGCCACATGACGTTCCCCCATGACTCCTCTGGATCATCCAGATGGTTATTGGCAAAATGAAGACATGCCTGGTTTAAGCAGGGGAACCTTCCTGTGCCATGAATGATTTCAAACCATGAGGGTATTAGTGTATTACCAACAGTAACCACGGAAACGGTGGTCCAAGCTCTTTTCATCATTGACCAGCTCTGGGCTGATTTCTCACCTTTCTTAGGATCATTGAGACCCCACCAGGTGAGTTCTTGCATGGAGCCTCAGTCTGAGAGAGATTGACAGTAATGTTTAGCTTCTTCCTTTTTCTAATGATTGCTCCAACAGTCGACCTTTTTTCACCAAGCTGCTTGGTAATTTCCCAGTAGCCCTTTCCAGCCTTGTGGAGGTCTACAGTTCTGTCTCTATGTAGTGTCTTTGGCCAGCTCTTTGGTCTTGGCCATGTTAGTAGTTGGATTCTTACTGTTTGTATGGGGTGGACAGGTGTCTTTATGCAGCTAACGACCTCAAACAGGTGCATCTAATTATGGATAATAAATGGAGGTGGACATTCTGAAGACAGAGTAACAGGTCTTTGAGGGTCAGAATTCTAACTGATAAACTGATGTTCAAATACTTATTTGCAGCTGGATCATATAAATAAGTAGTTAAAAATACTATACACTGTGATTTCTGAATTTTTGTTTAGATCATGTCTCTCACAGTGGAGATACACCTACAATGACAATGTCAGAATCCTCCATGATTTCTAAGTGGGAGAAGTTGCAAAATAGCAGGGTGCTAAATATTTGCTCACTATAATTTAGCTATGTCCATTCTGCGCATGCGCCATCAGCTCATTTGTGCACCCAGATATACATCCAGGTCGCACACGATTTTATTTTGTTAAAAACAAAATCGTGTGCAAATAATGTTAAATAATGTTTTTCCCTTCTCATAAATTGTAAACGTACTAAACTATAATGTGTTAAAGGTTAATAATGTATTTCCTGAGAAAATAAATGCCTTAAAATACTTTCTTTAATCACTGATCTCCTACGCTACTTCCGGTGGCTAATTCTTTTTAACTTTGGATTTTAACATAAATCTAATCTTTTTGAGTTTTATGTTTTCTTTTTGTGTTAATATTATGGTATATAGTGCGTAACCTAAAGAAAGAAATAACTAAAATGCAGATAAACATGGTTTAATCAGATTTAGCCGGGCTGCTCTGAGCATGTCCCATGATGACGTCAGAGATACAATTTAACCAAGAAAATGTAAAAAGCATCAAAATTGTCTCACAAAGGTAATAAAACATTATTTAAAGATGTGTATTAGTATTCTTTAGTGAGTTAAGGATAAAAATAAGTAATTTTAGTACCATAATTACTTTATTTATGGACACCCGGTTGTATATACATGCGCAGGATGGATCGTGCTTCCGGGACGGATCCGGTAGTGACAATGTCTGGTAGACCGCAGGCTCCATGTTTACATTCAACCTTCATACTGGTGAAAATGGTGCTGAATGACCCGCTCATCTTAATCTAAAACAAACACCTTCAACTTATTCATGAAATCAGTTTGACCTTTTGTTCTAGAAATACTGCGTTCATGACGGCTTTATTATGCTGAAATATAATTGATTAGGTGTCAAAATAAAAAGCTGTTGATGCTCCAATCCAGCTGACATTGAGGCCTGATCTGTCTGGAAATAACTTTTTCTCATTAGATAACCTGAAAGGCATTGGAATAACAGCTCCATTCAATGTCTTTGTTTGTGTGGGAAATATCAGGACCTGTAGTGTAAAGAGCCATAAATGTTCATCATAAAGTTATCGATTAACAAATTCCTTTGAATTATGTAAATTGATCTCAATGATCGACTAACAAAATTGTAAGATTTTGTTAAAAAACTTGAGTTTTTTTGTCTTATTTATTTCTGGTTAGCAAAGTAATTATTTCCTATCATATGCACACCTGCGGACACTCAGAAATGGATTTTAGTTCAGGGAGTCCTGGCCGACTCGTTAGGGATTCAATAGCTTTAGACAACAGAAACCCCCTGATGATTCCAGTTTCATTAGTCTGCATTGATCAGTGTTAGCCTCACCTTTTCACTATCTGAGGATTGTACAAGTAGATCTTCATAAAGTGCTTCTCTTTGGCGTGAAAACCATAGAAAGGCCTGGGAGGAAAATAAACAGACACGGTGAATAGGAGTGAAACTGTTTGCAGTCGGTGCTGAGAGCAGCTGATGAGAGACACCTACATGCCAGAGACCAGCACCACCTTGAAGACATGCTGGGTGCTGGCGGCGGGGTTTCCCATGGCAACGTTGAGGGCCCTGTCGATGCTGAAGGCCACCTGCCGCATGTAGCGCTCTGGCTGCTGTGTGCAGCCATCGTACGGCACATAGATGTAGGGGAACACGCCATGGAGGTGGAGACACGTCTTCTGACCTGGAACACAAGAGCATCACATCAGGGGTTGTTGGTAAAGACAAAACCAAAAATAAAAACACAGCTTTTAAGCTAAAATGGGTAGCCAGAGTTGGTCCAAAGCATTCATCCAAGTTGCAGTGGTTTTCATAGGGGTGGCCAGGTAGTGGTCATTGTTCGCCGTGTTTTATCTGTCGGTTGTTCCACATGCCAGACTTTGTGACATGCTCACCTAGCACCATTGTGAACGGCGCTCTCCATGTTTCTAGTTAGCTTCCATTTCAGCCACTCATTGTAGATTCACTGCTCTGGATGATAATGGCCAAAAGTCACAAGAATAAAAACTTCTGCCTTCGTGTGACCGAAGGCAGAAGTTTTTATTTTAGACCAGGCAGGATGGTCTGAAGGAGAAACACACACTAAAAAATGACTTTGAAGTAGGGGTGGGCGATACATCGAATATTCTCGATGTATCTTGAGTTTCCCCGTGGCGATAGTTAAAATGACTATCTCCGCCATCGAGTACGAATTTGCATGGCGACATTAAGCCGTCTGCATCTATTTCACTGAGTTTTATTTTTCCCACACACTTTGAATGCATCATAAACACCTCCTCCAAACATGATTATTTTCTCGCACACTACAGCAACCGGCAAACAAAATATGGCGACAGCAGGTGTTTCAGCTAAGCAGCGGTTTGGACGGCGAACAAAAGGCGCTAATTTGTAAGACGTGCCTCAAAAACTATTGCTGCAAAGGGTAGCAGTGCAAATTTATTCCACCACCTGAAAAGTAATCTGCTGCTAAATGAAGAATGTTGTAAACTCTGCGTCACCAATTTAAACGTTAAATCAACCAGCTGTGAAGCCGATGGCCTCGTCGTTTGAAAAGGCGAGCCCATATGGGAGAAAAAGGAAGAGATGGAGGGAATTCACAGACGCTATTTATTACGTTATTTAAATGTTTTTTAGATGCTCTAATACCTGTGATGCGATATTGTTCAAAGGTTTGCAGGTGTTTTCTAAACTTGGCAATGTTCACAATTTTACAACTTTTTGTGCTTCTTTAAAATTCCCAGCATGTAAATATTTCGGAGATGCTCTTATAATGCTCTAATTGTTGGACAGTATTTCCACGTTTATTTTGTAATTTGAGGTCAATTTTTCTTTTACATTCTAATTTTTTTTTAATGATTATTATCCACAAAAGGGCCTTTTTTTAATTAGCATTTTATTCAGTATTCTGTGTTTTTGCTTTGTTTCCTGTTTGGTTGCTGGGATCTTACTAAAGGTCTAATACTGACACCAAAAGACATAATGTGGCAGAAAAGCTTTGAGGTGGTTAAAATGTTTTAAATTTCAAACCAAAAGTTTAAATGAGTATATCCATTGTTTTTGAAGGTAATTTAAACATATTGTGATATACATATCGTGTATCGCGATATAGCCCAAATGTATAGTGATATTAGATTTTCTTTATCACCGAGCCCTACTTGGAAGTGTCTTACTATACCTTTATTTAATAATAGTTCTGTCTATTATCAATAAATAAAAAACAACATTAAACAGGTTTAAATGTTATTTATCTTTAATTACATACCTGACTCCTAGGAAGGGTGCAAAGACACATCTTTGCTTTCTCCCCATAAAACTAGCTTTGAAAAGAGCATACATTCTGTATTTGTCATCGTTAATGTTAGTAAGTTTATGTAGATGTTTAATTACTGTATTACTGTTGATATTTGATGGCTTAATAAACTAACAGCTAGAATGTAATCAATTACAACAGTTCATTTGAAACTATCACTGCTGCCATCCTCTGGTTTAGACGGGAACTGTTTGTTTAGGGTTTTGAATTATGGGACTAAACATTAACTTGTATTGGTGGACATGGCCCCCTATTTAGAGAAAGCCAATTAACCTAATAATCATGTTTTTTGACTGTGGGAGGAAGCCGGAGTACCCAGAGAGGGCCCACGCATGCTCAGGGAGAACATGCTAACTTTACTGCAAGGCAACAGTGCTACCCACTGCTCCACCTGGCAGCCCCAAATTATGTGTATTTGGTTTTTATTCTGTTAGCATGTATTCAACTAGCATCTGTGAAACATATTTTTCACATAATTTTTCCTGATGGCATCAAAAATGCTATGAAA